CTGAGCTATTTGGCTGGCTCTTTGCATAAGTTTTAATATGTAGAATTTAAAAGTAATACATGAATTTAGAGTTAAAAGAATTAAGTTACTGGCTTCCTCAAGTACAATTTTTTAAATTTTTTATACCAGGGATCAAACTCAGGACCTTGCGCTTGCCAGGCAGGTGCTTAAGCCATTGAGCTATCTTCCCTGCCCAGGTACAATATTATTTATGCGAAAATGTGAAGCTTACAAAACAGTATTTACCTTGGCAAGGAATAGATACCTGAACAGTAAAACTGTGACAGTGTACAAATGAATCCTAGATGCCAAATCTCAGGTGGTGGTATCCTCTGGAGGTTAGGTAGATGGGGTAGGATGAGCAGAGATGCGTGGTGTGTATTACCATGTGCATCATGTTTGTTTCTGTGTTGAGTAGAGGTAGGTGGGTGTTGCTCATTTTTTCTTATCTGAAAGGTATAAGGTCAAATGGCATAGATTCCAGGTGCTCTAGACCCCTATTCTGTAGTCGCCCTCCAAAAGTGAGCATTTTCCTGGTTTCTGTGAACATTTCCGGAGAGGTATACTTAAACAGGAATATGTAGTCCCAGCAGCATGGTGCACGCCTGTAATCCCAGCACTGGGGAGGCTGAGGCAGGAGGATTGTTGGTGTTCAAGACCAACCTGGGCTACAAAGTGAGCTCAAACCTCCCTGAACTTGGGCCAGCCAGATAGCTCAGTGGGCTAAAGCGCCTGCTTAGGTAGAGCACAGTGGCCGGGGTTTGATCCCCAGCATGCTGTGCCAGCCCTGACCCCTGAGCTGGTGATTGAGACTGGGCGTGGTGGCATGCACCTGTAATCCCAGTGCTTGGGAGGCTGAAAACAAGAGAATCATTACGAGTCCAATCTGTGTAGTGACACCCTGTGGGCCCTGTAGACCCAGTACTAAATACAAAGCAAACAAAAAATGCCCTCTGAACTATATAGTAGACCCTGTCTCAAAAAGACTAAGTAAACAGGAATATGCCAATATATAAACTTTCTCCTATCTTTAAAAATAACCACTCCATTCCTTTTGTATAGTAAATAGTACTGCTTATGCAATTTTACACTATAAAAATTGCCTCTTAATGTGTTAGAGATTATTGCATACTATATATTTATCTATTATAGAGGTAGTGTTTGGGGCTTTTTTTGGTGGCTGTGGGGACTGAACTGTGGTCCTCACATATCCTAGATGAGCACTGTGGTACTGAGCTATTTTCTCAGCTCTTGAGTCTATGTTTTACCATTAGTAGTTGCTATCATCTTTACCAGTTATACTCTAGGCTTTATTTGCTAATAAGCATATGCTGATTTTGTTGTATCCCATTTGCTTACTCAGGGGGCCTGCCCCTTAGCTCAGTTCTTTAAGTGGCTGCTTCAACAAAGCAGTCAGGCTCAGGTTGCTGTGGTTCGATCCCCACAACACAAGCCAGCAAGTCATGCCTTGAAGGCATTCGGAGCAAAAACAAAAACAAAACAAAAAAACCCCACTTCTTCCATTTGCTTACTCAGTAGAAAATTGAGTCCTCTCCCCATTCCTTTTAGCAAATATTCTGGAGGCTTCACAGGGGCTTTTTTTCCTGTGTAACCTTTCTACTCCCCTGTCTCCTTCAGTTTGTGGGTCATGTTGCCCCCAGAAGGTGGGAGGAAGGAAATTTGGACTTCAGAGCTTGGTTTTAAATCCTGTTCTCTCCGCTTACCAAAATAGTAACCTTGGATAAATTCCCCAACACTGTTGATTCAGCTCTTTATCTTGTATTTTTTCTTGTAGAGTTGTATTAAAAATTAAAATCTAGCTGGTCAAAATGGCTCATGCTTGTAGTCCTAGCTCTTTAGGAATCTGAGGCAAGAGAATCGCAAGTTCAAGGCCAACCTGGGCAACTTAACTAGACCCTGTCCCAAAACAAAATAAAAAGAGCTGAAGATGTAGCTCAGTTGGTATAGGCCTTGCTTAGCCCTGGGTTCAATCCCCAGTAAGTACCACAGAGAAAAAGTGAAAATGGTTAATGCAGTAAAATTTTAACTTTTTATTATGTTACCAGTAGCTCAGCAGTGTGCTGCCTAAGCTTTTGCCAGTCTCCAATGAGCTACCCACTCTCCACCACTGACCTCTTCAGCCCTTGGTCTGTGTAACTAGTGAGAAACTCTTTCTCTTTTTCAAGATACGCTCTATCAAAGGATGTTTTCCCAGCCCTCCATGGTGCACTTTATACTACAGCTGACTTCTTTGTAAAGTACCAGGGCTCTGTACACAGCTGGGGTAGAACAGGTAGTAAAAGTATAGCCTCCCACTTGTGTGGAATTACGGCAGACCTGAACATTCTTTCTGCTCAGGACAGGCCTCTTGGCTAGAATTCTTTTGCATATTCTTCCTCATGCAGGATCTCCCACCCCACCCCAGGCTCATTCATCCTGTCCTACTTTCTCTTATCTTGGGGAAGCTACATGCTTGCATGTGTCTGGGCCCAGTTGAAGTGAAGTCAGGCATTAGGTTCTTTCTCATAGGGCTCCTGGCCACCATTTAAATAAGGACATGTGACCTAGAATTGATTTTTAAGGACTCCTCTGAACTTTCTTGTGACTGAGAAGTACCCATAAACATTTTATGGAGGGGCCAAGAAGATAGCTCAGTGGTCTAGAGCACCTGCTTAGACAAGCTTAGGCAAGTGCAGGGACCTCGAGGTTGGATCCCACACCACAGGCCCTGCCAGCCCTGCCCGCAGGATGAGTGAGCTGAGCCAGCCACAAAAGAAAAAAAATTAAAAGAAACAAACAAAAAAACTCTATGGTGTTGGGAGACTAGTATCCCCTAAGCACCAGAGGACCCCTAAGTAGCGCTGACAGCTCTAGCCCAGACAGGACACCTTGTTATATTTGTCACATTCAAAGCTAACATTTGAGTAGCATTTTACATTACAACATGATTTTCACATTAATTATTTCATATAACTTCAAGGCAGAGAGTAGTATCTCATTTCAATTTTTCCAGTGAAGACAGCATTTGAAGCAAAAGGAGCTTCCTTTTGCTCATGTGTCAGTCATAGCAAACTACCTTCATACCAGGTAGAAAAAGGCCACATTTTACTGTTCAGCAGAGATTATATCAGTTACCATAATGGGGAGATTAAGTGTTAGTTAAATTTGGGGTGAAGTTAGTAGTATTAAAAATTGTTGAGTAATTTCATTTAAATTTGGGTCTCTTGCCTGGCACTTGGGAGGCTGAGGCAGGAGGATCGCTCTGAGTTTGAGGCCATCCTGGGCTACAAAGTGTTCAAGGACAACTTGAACTGCATAGTAAAACCCTGTCTGAAAAAGACAAACAGGGCCAGGGAGATAGCTCAGTGGCACAGCGCCTGGCTGGCGAGCACAAGGCAATTCCTGAGTTCAATTTCTGGTACCAAAAAAAAAAATTGGGTCTCCTTGTTGCTCTGTATATTAATGAGCTGTAAATAGTTTTCTATTAAAAATACTTATATACACGTGCATACGCACAAATACGCATATATTTATGTTGTTCTGTTTCCTAGGGTCACAATGGATACTGCTGGTCACAGTCTTGTCCTTCTGCAGCAGCTGAACATGCAGCGTGAATTTGGTTTTCTGTGTGATTGCACAGTTGCTATTGGAGATGTTTATTTTAAAGCCCATAGAGCAGTACTTGCTGCTTTTTCTAACTATTTCAAGATGATATTTATTCACCAAACAAGGTAAGAATGTATTTTTTTATAAATCAGAATAAGTTTTAATACTCTATGTGTCCTTATTATGGAGTTACCATAAGAAATGAAAACAATTATAAGGGCCAGCCACATAGCTCAGTGGATTAAAGCACCTGCAAGCAGGCACAGGGGCCAGGGGTTCGATCCCCAGGCCTGCCAGGCCGGCCCGCCCCTGGGACGTGCTGAGCCAGCAATTGAGACTGGGCGTGGTGGCACGTGCCTGTAATCCCAGCACTTGGGAGGCTGTAAACAGGAGAATCACTACGAATCTGATCTAGTAGTAAGACCCTGAAACCCTGTAGACCCTTCCCTAAAATACAAAAAAAAAATTATATATATATATAATTTTGTACAATAATTAAGCCTAATATATAGGCTCTCTAGAAGATTAAAAAAAATATAGGTAAAATTCATTGAAGGTTTATTCCATGTCCAGGTACCAAATCCTATAATATAAAATTCTTCTGTTACTCTTATATAAAAGGAAACTGAGGTTGAATGACTAAGTAACTTGCCCATACAGGATTACACAGACAGCTTACATGCAGATCTGGCTAAAGCCAAATGTCTGTGTTCATATCACAGACTTGTTGTTTTTTATTTTTTTAAATTTTTTAATTTTTTTTCAGGAACTGGAGATTGAACTCAGGCCCTTGCACTTGCCAGGGAAGTGCTTATTCTACTGAGCCATCTCCCCAGTTCCCTGTGTTTGTTTGTTTGTTTGTTTGTTTGTTTATTTATTTATTTTGTGTTAGTTTTTATTCTACAGCACATTCATAGCAAGCTTTGAGTGTCAGTTCTACCTGCTGCATATTCCATATTATAATTCAAAGGTCATTTGTTTTAAATATTCTTTCAAAGAGTTCTTTTGCATTTTTAAAAGTAGGTAACAGATACATTTAGCAATTCATATTCGGAGCTGTGGATAAAGAATAATTTCAGTCCATTGTAGGTTAAAAGTGATAGAACACTTTGTTTTTTAAGGACCTTATGTGGAGTATGAGTCCAACTGCACTTACATATTTTTACTTAATTTTCAGATATTTATTAAGTGCCTATGTGCCAGGCCCTGAGCTAGACCCCAATAACAGGCAAGTTATATACTCTGCACTCAAGAAGTTAATAATCCGATAAAGATAATGACTATAATACAATTAATTATAGTCTCATTGACTTCTCTGTACTTTAATTTCTTTGTCTGTAAAATGGTAGAATAGTATACTCACCCCTTAAGTATTGACAAGGTTAAATAGATTAATAATACTAAAATGTCTGGAGCAGAGCTTTGCTGTTGTGATAGTTTGTCATCAAGTGTACACAAGGTGGAACATGATTTCAGCAGCCCTATTTGAGAAGGTTGCAACAGGTAAAAAGAGGGCTGAGGCCTTGAAGGATGAGAAGGAATTTCCAGATGTTACAGAGGAATGCAAGTAGGTGCATTGGAGGCAGAGAAAAACAGCTGGCATGAAAACATCACGTGGGTGTGAATCAGGCTAGGGACGAGCCTTGAACATCAGATAACAGAGTAGATCACAATAATTGGAACATATTGTACAACAGGGAGAGGAAGTTGGAGTATGGGACAGGTAAAGGCCAACCTTCTCCGCCAGTTCAAAGGTTTTCTTCTCAAGAGTGTCCCTGAGGGACCCGGGAGATGGCTCAGTGGAATAAGCACTTCCCTAGCAAGCGCAAGGGTCTGAGTTCAATCCCCGGTTCTGCCAAAAAAAAAGACTGTCTCTGAGATTGGCGCCAGCAACTTGAAACTCAGCAGACAGACTCTCAACCAGTATTTGGCAAAGCTTGCCCCAGACCCCATCAGAGGACAGGTAGGCCAAGCAAGGAGAGCAGGGGAGAACCCGGGGAGCCAGGGCTGGAGGAAGGAGGCTTAGACAGTGTCTGACATGCAGTGCTTACTGGGCACTGTAAACTGTGCTTCCAGAAGGTACGGCCACGACTGGCGGCCGCACCGTTCTTGGATAGCCAGTATTGCCATTGCCCCAGTACTGCAAAGAGGTTTCCTCTTTTAAAATCGTATTTTATTTTGAAGAGTAAAAACAAAAGCAAAGACAAATAGCAGAAACAAAGATAGAAACAGTGTAACATACAACGATACATATGTTACAGATTTTCAAAAGAAAAATAGCTAATAAACAATGGTTGTTGTATTATCTATTTTAATCATCAAATCTGTTGCTCATATTAACGGATATAGTTGTGCGAGATTGGACAAATAATTGAATATTACCACTTGCTTACAAGAAACCTTAATTTTCTTGTCTTTTTTTAAAAATTATTTTAGTGAGGGAGCCGGGGAGATGGCTCAGTAGATTAAGCGCTTGCCTGGCAAGCGCAAGGGTCTGAGTTCAATCCCCGGTTCCAAAAAAAAAAAAAAAAATTATTTTAGTGAGAATATAATGATTGATAAGACATTAGAAATGGTACACATTTAGAAGACCAAGATGAGAGGTATTTAAGCATAGTTTTGTATTACACATTGCTGTCCTCGATGTAGTTGCTTAGATCTCAGGTATCACCATAGA